AAAAATTATTTCAAAATTACTTAATTTTAATAAAATATTACAAGAAAAGACAAAAAACACTCTAATTCATATTTTAAAAATATGATATTTTAGTCTTTTTTAATAAAAATTTATTGAAATGACGTAGTTTTGGATGATTTTCTTCTAAATCTTTAGAATGTAAGATAAATAAGTACTGTTTCCTTAAAAATATAGGGGTTTATACTCTATTTTTTTTTTAAATAAATAAATTTACAATAAAAAAAAGAAAATAAACAATGTCCTGAAAAATCAATTTGAGGAGCACTATCTGACTTCTGACTCGTAACTCCCAATAACAGAGCCCACTAGAATGTCTTTTTTTCATCTTGTGCTCCTAATTATTACTCCTATCACTTTGTTTATTTTATTTATGTCGTACAATTTAGTACCTAAGTTTTTGTTCCTTTTTACTAAAGGACATAGCACATTAAAAGCACTCCTTTTTATTTCTTTTGTTGCGAAAAGAGAAGAAAATTATAGGGACTAGAGAAGAGGAAGTAGGAAGCACTCTTATTGTACGCACTCAGGCTTATTGTAAAAAGGAAAATTATAAAACAATTAATTGTCAAAAATTCGGTCACCTCAAAAAGAGTTTGTCAAAAATTAGGTCACCTCCAAAAAATTGTTTCAAAATTAGGACACATTAAGTGGAACCCATTAGAGTGGTTAGAATTTTAGTATTTTATATCAATAATAACAATTAAAAAAAAAAAAAACTTATCTCCACTTCACTTTCTGACAAGTTGCTGTTTCATACATAGGAAAAAAGCTGGAACTTGGTCTTTTTTCATCTCCTTCCCCTCTCTTCCCTCTCTCCACGGTTGCCCATGTGATGATTTTCTTTCTCACGTGCATGCCAATGACAAAACGCGAATTTTTCATGCAGGCAGGAGCAGAGGCGCTTTCTCTGGGAAAGGTTGCAGGCCCCTTAATCATGATGAATCTGCTCATGTACTCCAGAACAATCATTTCCATGCTCTTCATGGGCCATCTAGGCAAGTCTGAGCTTGCTGGAGGGTCACTGGCAATCGGATTCGGAAATATCACCGGTATCTCAATTATCAAAGGCCTCTCCATGGGAATGGATCCCATTTGCGGCCAAGCTTTTGGAGCCAAGAGATGGTCAGTTCTCTGCCAAACCTACCATAAAGCACTCTGCCTTCTCTTGCTTGTCTGCATACCCATTACAATCCTGTGGCTAAATGTGGAACCCGTCTTCAGGGTCTTCGGACAGGATCACGAAACCACAGAAGCGGCAAAAATTTTCTTGGCGGCCTTTGTTCCTGAATTGATAGGTCAAGCTATCCTCAATCCATTGAGGACCTTTCTACGAACCCAAGGCCTAACCACCCCTCTTACGATGTCTGCTGTATGCGCAGTCCTTCTGCACCCTCTGTTCAACTACTTGTTCACAATATATTTTCAGTTAGGACTGAAAGGAATCGCGTACGCTCTTGCCTGTAATACACTTAATCTGAATCTCGGCTTGACAATCTATGTGCTCATGTCAAAATCTGCCGTAAAACCATGGCAAGGTGCTTCATTCTTCTCTATGTTTCAAGGTTGGAGGCCACTGCTGGCTCTATCTCTGCCTAGTGTAGTTTCAGTGTGTTTGGAATGGTGGTATTATGAGTTACTGCTGTTGCTTTGTAGCTATGTAAGCAACCCCGAGGACAGCATTGCAGCAATGGGCATCCTTATTCAAACTACATCGCTGTTATATAATTTTCCCTTCGCTCTAATGTCAGGGGTTAGTGCACGTGTGGGTCAGGCTTTGGGAGCAGGCGAGCCATCTAATGCCCAGTTAACAGCAATAATTGGGCTTGCAATGGCAGTTGCTTTTGGACTATCAGCCTCTGTCTTCATGACTCTCATCAGATCAGAATGGGGGAAACTGTTTACAGATGAGCCTCAAATTCTTGATCTGATCTCTACCGTGCTTCCGATTTTGGGGTTATGTGAACTGGGCAACTCTCCACAAACAACTGCCTGTGGGGTCTTGACAGGGACTGCACGTCCAAAAGATGGTCTCCGCATAAACTTGTGTTCCTTCTATCTTGTTGGATTGCCAGTTGCAGTACTAGTAACTTTCACATTTAAAGTTGGCTTCCCAGGTCTCTGGTTTGGACTTCTAGCAGCACAGTTCTCCTGTGTTTTAATGATGGTTTACACAGTGAGTCGAATAGATTGGAATTACCAGGCTAAGAAGGCTGACGAGTTGACTCTAGCAGCAGGAGGCCAGAATAATTCAGATTTAGAAACTGGCCTACTTCCCAATGATCACCAATGAGTTTTCATGATAAGAGGGCATTTTGAGAGCAGTTTTTGGGGCAGAAAACGACATAAAACGGGGTACAAGATATCAATTATTGAGGAATCATATAGCATTGATATTATTATGAAAAGCAAAACAACTGCTATATCTCAGCTATAGATCTTTAAATGATTTATTGATTCATTATACAGGAACGAGCTAGACAC